ATGAATGGTACACTATTTAACTGTTTCTCTCGATGTTTTTATATTTTTGACAGAAAAAAAGACACAACGAATTAGTTGTATCTTAGTTTACAAAAAATGAATTGTTTTAATGCATTTTAGTAAAATAATTTTTTTATTCTTATTTGCACGTTCTTCAAATGAGGGCAAATAACAGAATGTTAAAAAAAATGTGATCTACCAATGAAGTATTATTTGTTGAATTAAGAACAAGTGAAAAGAAAAATCATATATTCAATTTCATTGTTTTATTTAAAAATCAAAAGTAAACAAAAGAAGCGTATCGAAATTCTCGTCGATATTTTCTAATGCGAGAATTTTTTTTTTTCGTTCTTTTATGTCTATTGTTTGTTTTTGAATCTTTCTAATCACCTAAAAATTTCTTGTTCGATATTTTTCATGGCATTTTCTTTACTTCGAACATGAAATCACCTTACTGTCCTGAATAGATTGAGAGATTTAGAGGAAAAAATCTCATTGAAATTCATTTGATTTTAACAATCAATTAGACATGAACAATATTCAAATTAAGTCAATCATGCTTCTTTTCTTCTATGCTTGACAGATTAAAGACTAGCATATAAGTCGTAATTTTGAGGTTCGACGGATTTAAGTGAAATTCGTGATCAATATATTAGATTTAATATATGATGTTTAGTTCAAAAGAAAATGTTATCCTTTGATATTTACTGTTTATATTGTTATATATTAAAGATTCCTAACCAACCATTCGGTGGGTATCGGAGTTCCAGATCGAACCCACGGAGTCTCACTTTCCGTTAGGTCAAGTACTCGACGATGAGTTGCTTTTTCAACTATTTTACAGATAATAATATTTCATTTCAAGGACTCGAAATATGAATTTCGATACTCAGCGAAGAGCTTTTCCGATGAATACGAAGTGATGAGAGTCGTAGATCCGCAAATAGTGAATATTTTGTACTGGTTCAATAGATCGAAATTCCGACCATTCGAAACTTTGTAAATTTTTAAAAAAGTTTGTTTTTCGTTTTTTGAAACTATTTAATCCATCGGATATTTTTTATCAGAGCTCTCGATACCTATCGGATGTTTTTCCAGAGCAGTAGATTCGAACATATGTACTTACGATTACGAAGCTGGTACGGATCAGATGAGCGAAACATGACATTCTTTAACTAAGCAAAACTACATTTTCTCATTAAACATTGAAGTTTAATAAATTTTTCACATATTCTCAAGTAATCTTTTTTTTTTGAAAACTAAAAAAAGAATATTTTTACTGCCATTGATGCAGAAAATAATCATAACTATATTAAATTTAGTTATGCTAAATAAAAATTTTGTGAAAAAATATACAGCGCACGTCCATTCATTAGAATTTCTAAAGGAAACATTTAAAAGAAAAGAAAAAATATGATAAATTTTACACAACTACTCTAAGATTTTAATATTCGATTATTTTAACAATTTTTTTTATCGTTGAGAAATCTGTGGGAATTGTTATGCAAAATATGAGATGATGATCTACAAATAATACACACAAAAGATTTCCAAAATATGAAAGAATGAATTTCTACACTTGATGAGTATTGCAATATGTTTCAAAATATTTTATGTTTTTTAATATCGAGATGAGAACGTAGCCAGTTCTTTTTGATGAATGTTAAAGACGAAATCCAGACAGAAAAATCAAAGTTAACAGAGAATTCATTGATTGATGCAGATATGATAAAATAACAACTGATTGTTGCAATAAAAAAAAAAGGAAATTTTGAACTTATTTTGTTTCTTCTCTTCCAATTTTCATGCACAAAATCAAATCTAATAAAAATTTGTGTATAGAAGTTTAATAAGGTATATCGAACTGCAGTATAGTTTCTGAAATAAATTTTAAACAAAAAGCTTGAAAAAAACTCGATAACTTGAAACTATTTCACAATGGAATTGTGTTCGATAGAACGTCTGAGTATTTATTTAGTAACAACTAATCGGAAAACGATCAATTGTTCGAAACAATCTCATTGATGAGCTTTTTCCTATGATAAGATTAAATCTTGATAGTTCATAATGAATATTTTTTTTTTGATACAAAAGGCACATATATTTATATTATTTGTTAATCCACGAGTATTAAATATTTTCCTGAAAATCATGAACTTATGTATACCTCTACAATAGAAATTGATTTATTGGATGACAGAATTAAACGAAAACGTAGAATCACTAAAAAAAAAAGAAATTTCAAAGAAGTTTTCATCGATTAAAATTTAACTGCATAGTAAAAATTATTTTACCGTCAGATTTTCCCTCGAAGAGCAATGACCACTTCGATACACTTCGAGTGGTTGAAATCATATTGAACAATCGATAATAGCTTTCTGATAGGTTTTCTGCTTCGAGTACTCAATAATTCGATGATTTTCCAGAGGTGGAAATCGTACCGAACAATTGAAAGTAGCTCTCCGATAGGCTTTGTTACTTCGACTACTTGGTAATTGGATAGCTTTCGAGAGATCAAAATTACATCGAACAAACAGAAGTAGCTTTTCGACAGGCTTTATTACTTCCACTACTCGATAATTCGATGATTTTCGAGAGGTCAAAATCACATTGAACCATCAAAAACAGGTTTCCCATAGGTATTGCCACTCCGACTACTCTGTAATTCGATGCCTTACACATGGTCGAAATGGATCTGAACAGTCGAGAATCAGTGTTCGATGGGAGAATGTTTCTGAGGACTCCATTTTCGATGGGTTCGAATATCAAACAGAACGAGAAAAAAATATCTATTTTAAGTTTCGACTACTCATCGCGTCCCTCACTGACTTTTTATGGCCTGCTTGGGATTTGTTTTTAATTATGAAATATATTGGTCAGCAAATGATCTTATATACTATTCCACAAACTACTTAAACTTTTCTGTTCTAGAACTTTCTCATAGAACGAAAGAAGAATTACGTCTTACAATCGCTAGAACAATACTCTTTCCATTTTTTTGAATTAGAATTTCTTTTTTTCTATCTTACAAGCCAATAAAAATAGATTAAAATGATTTCATTCTACGAAATTCTATAAATTTCGAGAGTTTGATATACTATACTCTTCGTAACTCTTATTGTTTGATAATACCATTTTCAATGAGCTTTAATTTGTCATGAAACTTATGCTTTATTCTATTTGCAATCATGACCGTAGTCCTCCTCGAAAAAATATTACTTAGGGCATACCAAAAGTAGTGGCGGGCGCATCTCAATTGCTTACAGAACTCTTGAGAAAATTCTCTATTTTTTTATGCAATGATAGAGAAAACAATGCTCTATTTTTCTATGCTATTGGATCAGTATTCAACTAATATCATAATTATAAAATTTTGACAGTGAGCTGTTTGATATGATATGTAACCTTTGTATGAATGCTCGTGAGTATATTTTCAATAGGTTTTGATAGAATCAGGATAGAAAACTGCGATTTTCATCGTTAGAAAGAGGAGATGAAGACGCATCGAATCACACATTATGGAGTTTCCTGATCTGTTTTTTTTTTGTAAGGTCTTCAATTGGCCTTTTCAGGAATAAACCCATCCCGTGAGTTGTTTACAGTGAATTTTTCAATAATCAGATATACATTCAAATCGCCAACCGAAGATCTACAAACTGTGAAAGGCTCAGATGTTTAAATTTAATTATTCAGAGATAATATGTATTCTAGTTGAACCTCTAATACGATTTTCTAGCAACTTTTTTGCTTTTTCTGTTTTTCATAAAAAAAAAGCATTTTTCTGACGATTAGAAAATGCAATAAAAAGACTTCAGAAATCACATTAGAAAAACCTATTATAGATGATTCGATGTGTCTTCATCTCCTTTTTTTAAAGGTGAAAACCATGATTTTCTATCCTGTTTCTGTCGAAGCTTATTTCAAAAATGCTCACGAGCATTCATACAAAGGTTACATATCATATCAAACAGCTCATTGTCAAAATTTTATAATTATTATATTAGTTGAATAGTGATCCAATAACATAGAAAAATAGAGCATCGTTTTCTCTATCATTGCATAAAAAATAGAAAATTTTCTCAAGCGTTCTGTACGAAATTGAGATGTGGCCGCCACTACTTTTCGTATGCTCTAAGTATTTTCTACCTAGTATAATTCAGTTTTATTGTAGCAAGAAAATCAATGAGAGCAATAGGAACGTTGTTTATCAATTAGTAATACAGTATGTTAGAAAGGTAATAGAACTTTTCATCGTAGACAGATGGTCACGGATAAATTGTCGCATGTATAAAATATTGCAATATCACTGAACGCTATATATTTGTATATCAGCAAATGGCTGTTGATGTAGGTATTTCTTCCACTAACACCTACATCCACGTCCAAACCCATACCCTACAGTCCATGCGACGAATTGTTCTGCGATGAGAAGTTCGGTCACCTATTAGAAATAGTGAGCAACTTGAACTAATAATCAAAATCAATAGAGTTCTCATATGTGTTCAATATTCCTAATTTCATATGTTCTTAAAGTAAAAAACAGTAGTTTTTTTTTCTCATAAAGTCAATTAATATAGTTCTCAAAATTAAAAGTTATCTAAAAAATCTTTCAGTTGCAGAATCTTTGCTGATATTGATAAAACTTTTGGTTCTATTCTGAATGTAGTGTTATCTTTTGGTTGATACAATATTTACTCAATAGCTTTTATTTTACTTATCAACAAAGAGAACTTTCAATATCTATGTCTTATTAACATTTACTTTGAAATGTAACACTACATCTTTCAGCAGATGAAAAGAATTATAATTAAAAATCATACAATTATAATGTTGAAAGTAGTTTCTGCATGTCTTGACTATATAAATATTGACATTTCTAAATTTTTGTTTATTAAAGTAATAAAAAAAAGCGTATATCTACAATTTGAGCAGTTAAAAATAAGCAAAAAAACCTGTGAGTTCACGCAATTAGTAGTTCCGTTAAGGCACACAAAAAAAAGTCAATGGCGAGTGGATAATCCACGAGTTGATTTTACAGGTGGTTGAGCCGACGATGTCGAAGCTACACTACCTGCATTAGATCGTACCGATGAAGAAGGTGATGGTGGTCGTCGTATTCTTGGTGATTGATTCACTTCGGTAAGATATGATCGAGCTGTACGAGGAGATTCTTCTTCATCAGGTATTAGTGATGTACGAGGTGAATATAATGGTGGTTCTTTACGTGTTGCAAATGAATGACGTCGCAGGGACGGCTGAATATAACGTTCTTGTTGTCTTGATGTTATTGGTGGACTTGGTTGTAATTGAGCACGACGTTCTCGTGCTCTAACAAAATCTGATGGATCTTCTGGATGATAACGTTCAAGTTGAGATGCACGACGCATTTGCATTTGTAATTTCAAACGATTTGTAAAAAATACATGACGCCAACCACGTCGTTCAGCTAAATGAATTAAATCTTTATTTTCTAAAGCATGCCGTCCATAATGATCTATATAAAATATTTGCCAAAGATCATTATTACGACATAATGAACGAAGTGATTTTGATACTAATGATATTTGTGGAATATCATCAAGATTTACAAATGAAAGAATATGTATTTGAATATTTGGTGGAAGACGTGTTAACCAATCATATTTACCACGAACTAGATTTACACAATAATCAAGTGTATTTTGACCAAATATACGCCATATTTCACGTTGAGCAACTTCATCATCATAAAAATCTTCATATGATTCTTTTATTTCACCTGGATACATTGAACCATCAATATTTCGAAGTGTTATTTTCCACCAACGAAGAATAACCTTTAAAATAATAAAACAAAAAGAATAAAAATTAAAAACAAAACAAATTCATTCAATAATAAACTTTATCCAGAGTAATTTGTAATTGACCATAATCTTTTGATGGTGCAGGAGCTTGACCATCACATTCAAACAAAATGCCATCTTCATGTAAAACTTGTGATAATAATGGATGTTGTTTCATAAAATGACGCATATTACATGTTTCATGAGGATGAACATTTTTTTTATTACGACTAGATTCAGTCGTTAAAGAAGCTCGTCTAGGATCAGCACCTTTCTTTTGATTACTCGCCATGATTGTATTCAAAATAGAACGTGTTGCGATGCAGTAAACCTCCTCTACTATAGTTACTTGTATCTTCAAGAACACAAATGAAAATTTAACGTCGTAGAAAGAAAAAAGAAAAAGTCACACACTACACTGTAGAGATTGATCGTCTGTTGATTCTCTTTTTTGTCAAACATAAAAAAAAGAAAAAGAATTTTAGACATTCAAGAATTGGATTGGATTTTTCACTTTTTCTTCCATTCTTTCTTCAATCCAGGTTTTTCTTTTTTTTGACGCGTTTGAATTTTAACCAATAAAATTAAAGACATAGAACTTAGTTTTCATGTCGCCAATATCATTATGAAAAAAATAGATAGTAAAATCTTCGTTAACATCTGAAACAAATAAAATGAGTACAACAAAAAAGATGTCAATTTTTGTTTTACAACCTAATGCATTACATGCTCAATGGCAAGGAGAAAAATTGAATAGTGTTTTTCAAGTAAGTTTTCAAAACTCAGACATTAAATTGATGATTGAGATTTTTTTTTTTTTTTTTTTTTGGTTATCAGTTACTTGAATCAAGTAATTTTCAACCACATATGATTGATGAAGAAACTATGATTAATATGAAAGATTTAAAAGGAAAAATGTTTGTTATTGAACCATTTTCTGGTCAATTATTTCAGTATTTAAAAAATAATAAAGCTTGGTAAAAAAAAATTCATCTTGATTTTTATCTTTAAAAATTTAATCTTTCTATTTATTTACTAAAAAAAAAAAAAAAACAAATAAAAAGGGTTCTTGGTCCACAATTAATTACAACGTGTGTTGATCATAATATTACAATTCCATGCAGTTCTTATCCTCTTTATTCACTTGCTATGCAATCATTAACTATTTGTTGTACAAATCTTCCACATGCTGATCGTGTAAGAATTAATTTTTCTAATTGAAAATGTAATTTTTTTTTTATAATTTAATAGGAAAAAATTCGTCGATCTGTTGCTTATATGGGTGGTAAATTTCAAACAAATCTTAATGCAAATGTTACTCATTTAGTATGTGGAACTTGTGCAACATCAGAAAAATATTTTGTAAGTTTAAGAAATTGATTTTCTTTTTTTTTTAAATTTTAATTAATGATTTAAAATAAAGGTTGCCGTTGAAAATGGAATTCAAGTAATGATGCCAGAATGGATTCAAAATGTACTCGTACTTTCAGGACAAAAGTAATGAGAAAATATTGAGAGTTAAATTAGTTTTATTTTTTATTGTTATATAGAACAGTAAAAGGAACGGATTCAACCTTTGATCGTTTTAAATGTCCACTTTTTTATAAATTTATTATTTCATTATCGGGTTTTGCTGAACGAGATCGTAATACAATTAAACAATATGTTGAACGAGAAGGTGCAACATATTCACCAAATTTAATTAAAGATAAATGTACTCATTTGATTTGTAAAGAACCAAAAGGTAAACTTTCGAAATAAATATATAGAGTGTCATAGAAATCTGTCGAAAAAGTTAATCTAAATATCTTTTATATAATTCAAGCGATTTAATTGATTTTCGTACAGTAGATAAGTATGTTCTTTAAAGTTTTGTTGAGTATATTTTCAGATTAATGGATGCACCTATAAAGATTTGAGAAACAAAAGCCTACAAGTCGAATTTGGCAATAATACAACAATTGAAGATTGCATTAAATTATCATTTCAATACTTTTGTGAAACTAGTACAGTGAAAGATCGAAAATGTTCTGTAAGATCGTCAAAAATTATAGAAGAAAAAAGTCGACGAAGTGTATGATATTTGTGAAAAATGAACTACAATCAAATGTTCGAGCTATTACAAAAAACTTGCTTAATTCCAAGAATAAATTACATCTTGTATGATTTCAAGAAAAGGTATTCAGTCACAATTTGATGCTCTGTTGTTCGTGGAATGGAGCAGACCTTTGCAACAGCTCAAACACTTGATTGTGATTTATTTTTCAGAAAACATCACGAACTTCGTCGACTTTTTCTTCTATAATTATTGACAATCTTACAGAATATTCTCGATCTTTGACTGTGCCAGTTTTACAAAAGTATTGAAATGTAAGTTTAATGCAATCTTCACTTAGTGTGTTTTTGTCGAATTCGACTAATAGTTTTCGTCTCACAACCATAGGTGAAGCTATTCTTATTTTAATTTTAATAAGCACAAACATTTATCTGGAAGTATACACAACAAAACTTTAAAGAGCATATCTACATATTATTCGGAAACCAATTAAAAGGTTTGAATTGTATAAAAGATATTGATGTTAGTTTTCCCGACGGACTTTTTGGAACATCATGTAGATATTCATTAGATGAAATTTTGTTGGTCTAGGTTCGAAATTTGAACATGCAATTAAATGGCGAATTCCAGCACTTAAACCTGAATGGATTTTTGAAAGTAGTGAAAAAGGTTCATGTCTTCGTTTAACGAATTTTTTATGGCCAACACCAAATATTGATTCAAATAGTAGTAAAGGTTATTTCTAATTTTGAATTAAATTATCATTATTTAATATTTCAATTTATAGAAAATGAAAAACCTTTAATGAATGATACAATTGATTCCTTATCAAAAATTGTTACTGTTGATCAACGACGTAAATCAACATCATTACTAACTATAGAAGAAATGAATGATCTTGAAGAATGTTTTGATAAATGGATGAATAATCGATCGAAAAAAATCTTAGATGATTTATTTGATGGTTTAAAGGTTTGTAAATTAAATATTAAATTGATTAAAATAATGATTTCGATTTCTAGATATTCTTAGGTCAATTTTCTTCAACATTACGAATGCGTATGCAAAAAATTCTTGATGGTGGATGTGCTGTTCGGTATATTGATTCTTCGTTATGTTAAACTTTTGATAGGTTTTTTTTTTGTTTTCTTTTTCTAAGATTTGATACACTCAATTCATCAGTAACACATATTATTCGAGGTAATGAACCTACTTCAAACTATACTCAAGTATCTATTATTGCACCAAAGTAAAAAGTTCAATTTATTAATTTCCGTTCGGAAATGAATTTTATTATTTTAGTGCTTATATTGTTAATCCACAATGGTTATTAGATTGTTGTGAAAAAAATGAACTTGTATTGGAAAATGATTATTTATGTTTATTTGATCGAGATGAAAAGTAAAAATTAAAAAGATTGAATTATTTTTATAAATGAAATTTTCAATTTAGACAAGATTTAAATCAAAATTTAACAGATGATAAAAAGAAAAATAGTAATTCAAATTTATCTATGCTATCATCAGCATCATTAACACGTCAACAAACAAACAGTTTTAATGTTGATCAAACACTACTTGTATGTCATTGATTTATTTTTATTTTTAAGACAGATTACCAATACTAATCGAACCAGTTAAAAAAAAAAGACAATTTCTTCATTGTCATAAATAAAATAGTTTCTAAATTTGCATAATGAATGCTGATATAAATATCTTCTTGTTTGAGAAAGACACACATATTACGAAAAGGAGTAAATTAATTTCTATTCTTAGTCAAACTCTATTTCAGTTTCCTGATCTAAACTGCAGGTTACAATTCATAATCTTGGTTGGCTCAATTTCACAGTCTTTGAATTAGAAAACTTCGATATTTGATTTTCAGTCAAGTTTGCGAAAATCATATGTCATCTCAATTAACAAATCAGAATATGTAGAAAAATAATAAACTGTAAAATCTACATTAATTTTGTAACTGTACTGCTGATAATGCAATCGAACTAGTAAACACTCGACATACTAATAATAGACTTCTATTCATGTGCTGACTAAAAGGATGCAAAATATCGACATCCTGCTCAACAGCTCTAAACACTACATAAAACTAGAAAAACTCTACTAGGTATGTGAAAAGAGAAGTGGTCATAAAAACAGTTACACATATATCTGTTTCGTCTAAAACTATCAATTTTAGAATAAATTAATGGAAATACAAGCAATAATTGAACTAGTAGACTTTTCACGCAAAGAGATCAATATAATTTTCAAAAGCGCAAAGCATAAAGAATGTGAAGTTTGTACTGAAGTGAATTTTATTGCTCGTGTTCGAGACTTAACGAAGAGATCTCTGTTGAATCGAATAAAGAGAATTACATACGATACAATTCACCTGAGCCGAATTGAATTGTCGAATAATTCAATTCAGTTTCCATTTCTGGTCAGAACTAAATACTAGATTGAAAAGATTCCATTATATTATTTTTAAGAAGGATGATATGAGTCATTATTATTTTAGCAAGATGATACTCCTCGTCTTCGTCGAACACCTGGATCTGGTACATCAACACCTTCAATTATTTCTGAATATGCTCTTTCACCATTTTCTTTACTTAAACGTTATTCTAATGTTCCACGTCCACCTGTTTTCGAACAAACATTAACTGATACACAAATTGATAAAATTAGTGCACAATTACCACCAACAGAATCACAAATTAATGTTGATCGATTAATGTCAGATATTGATATTTTAATGCCAACTTTACTTAATAATCAAAGATCATCATCATCATCATCATTATCATCAAATACTGTTTCTACGGCATCATCATCAAGAATAAATATGATGTCTTCACGTTCATTTTTTCTTGCTCAACAAGCAAAATTAGCAATCGATGAAAGTTCATCATTAGAAGTAAAAGTATCATGGGTTGATGATTCAACAGAAGCAGAACGTAATCGACAACATCAATTACATAATTTAGATGAAATGACACAATCTGATGATACATATTAAAATAGATTTTCTTTTTGTTCTATATTCTGTTGTGTTTTTTTTTCTTGTATAGATAAAGAAAAATAAAAAATTCTCTTATTGTTAATTCTAGATTCATTTAAAATAATGACTGAAGATATTAAAAAACAATCAGACACAATTGGTAAATAGACGAATATTTAGTTTTTTTATAAGAAACAAAAAAAAATAATTCTTTTTTTTGTTTGTTTTATTAATAGATAATTTAAATGAAACGAATCGTAAATTTACGACAAGTACAACTGTGAATATATTAAATGATCTACAATTAATGAATATACATGAACAACATGAATGCCAACGTTATGAATTATATCGAAAATATGAGCAATCATTACCAAATAAAACAACTTCTCCATTCATAGCTCAATCAAATTCTTCATCTGCATCGTCAATGGAACCAACAAATACATCATTGATTATAAAGCAAAACAATTTGGAAGATTCTATTTCATATGGTAATTTTTTTTTTGTGTTTTCTAGGAACAATCATAACCATCAGCTAAATATAATTGATGATAATCTATCAAATGATATTAGTGAAGACTTACGATCACTAACTGAACAACGAGTACCAGATTTATGTATTCTTGATGGTGAACCAATGCAATTTACCAATGGTTTGAATAGTTTTTAATTCAGCGAACTAAAAAATATCTTTCTCAAACTGTTTGATCTTTGCAAAATATTGATTTTCTTTGGACTAAAACTATTGTTTGCCTTAGTTAACGTAGGAGCATTATTTTTCTAAAGTGAATATTATTAGCAGCCTCTGTTTCAGTTTCTTTCCAGTTCGGTCATAATTCATCAAATTTAAACGAGATGATAAACATTCACTAATCTTCATGATTAATTATTTAACGAATTCATTCTCGAATGATTACTCGTTAAGCAGAACCCATATAACAATCTAACTTAAACCAAATGACTTATCAGCAATCATTTTTAAGACATACATATTGAATACGAAAAACGAATACTAAGTAACGTGGTTGTGTGTGTTAGAGCCTGTGGATCCAAAATTTTCGGATCCGACTGAGTCTGAGACCAACCAGACGAGTCCTGCTGTGTCTCATAAATGTTAATAAGTTTTGTATTTCTCTTGTGATTCTTTATGATACAAGTTATTCTCTTCTCTATATTAAATATAATTATGAATCATTGTAATAATTGATAATATTAGGACGGAATTGAGAAATCATCGAATGGAAACGAAACAGAGGTAAACTAATAGAATTGGTTAAGAAATGTTGTGATAAAACAAGTATTTACTTTCAAAAGTATTCTACTGGATACTTGACGTTTCTTTTTTTTTTGAATCTTGAGAATTTGCAATCATTAGTTTTATTAACTAAAATAGTATTTCTTCGTATGGATTATTTAGGTACGAAATTCTATTGTACTATAAATGATATATTAACTAGTGATGGTGAATTTTGGGTTGAACGAGAATATTCACCTGAAAATGAACGAAAATTTTATCAATTTATTGATATACTTTCATTATTTGCCACTAGCTATGAATCATTAAGAGAAGTTTATATTGGTCAATTAGTAGCATTACATTATGAATCATCTTGGCATCGAGCATTAGTAGTATCGAAAAGTGAAGGACCAGCAGTAACTAAACAACCAAGTGCACGTGTTCGACTAGTTGATTATGGTACATCATTATATGTTAATATTTCACAATTAAAATGGTTACCTGAACAATTTTATTTATTTCCTTTTAAAGTAAATATATACTTAAGTAAAATAAATTTAAACTAAAATATTATTGAATAATTTGATTTTAGGCAGTTGAATGTGTCTTTAGTGAAGCTGTTAAACCAACTTTTTCCGATACGGTTCGTCTTACATTTAAACAACTTGTACTACATAAACGATTACATGCTACGATTGTAAGTATTATTTTTTAAAAATGACAAATATTTTCTATTTACTATTGTTAATTATATATATATAGTATGATAGAGATGGTGCTCGTATTTGTGTATTATTAAAATGTAAAACTGAAGAAGGTATTGTTAATGTTTATCGATATTTACGTGCACATGAACATAAATCAAAAAATGGTCGAATGCTAGATGATGGTACTATAGTACAATGTTTACATAATACTATTTTTAATATTAATAATTCTGGTTATCAATCAACAATATCGAATAAATCAATGAATACATCTATAAATTTAACATTACCTATTTTATCACCACCATCACCAATTAAATTAACACGTGATCAACTTGAAATAAGACGAAAAGAAATCAAGAGAATTTATAAAGAACCTTACGATGAAAATAATATTAGTATAATTTCTAGTGAAAGTAATGGTAATTTATCTATGTAAGTTATTAAATTGAAAGAAAAAAAAAGAAAACAGAAAACAAGATAATAGTTTATATTGACAAATGTATTAAGAGAAAAACTTCTCTCATGTTTTAAAATCTTTTTTGTTTTGTTTCTATTCTTTCATTTAATTGATCATTTTCGTTCTATCTCATGTTAAGTCAGTTTCTGACTAGATTAATTTGTAAAGTTAATCTGACATTTATTATTTTATACAAGATTAAATTATTGAAAGTTGACATAATTACTAATATTTTGTGCGTATTGAGAGATTCAAAATCTGCTTTTAAGGATAGATAATAGAAAATTTTGTATCGAGATAACTTGTTTAATTAAAAATATTATGAAATGAGCGTAGAATAATTGATTGAATATAGAGATGTGAACCAATGCAAACATTATGCGACATTCATGAATACAAAATCTTAAGAAATAGAAATTTTCACATTTCAAGTATCTTTTGTATTTGCCTATGAGTCGTGTCATATATCTAGAATATAAGAGATAGATGAAGGAAGAAGAATGCAACTATGACTAATTGTAGCTCTGGGCTGAAGGCCGACCTGACGCAGAGTTCTTGTGCTTCCCATACACACCCAACTAACCATATATTAGTCACGAGAACAAGTGCATGTCACAATGTTGTCTGTATGCTATTGGATGGATGATCCGAGACAAATAATCGTTAATGACTTATTCAAGGTCATTCGATGACTGGTGTACTGAGGTTTGAACACAATACTTCGTGATGATGTATCGAGCAACACAGCCACTCAGCCATGGCGGCTCCAGGATATAGAGAAAAGACGTTTGAAGGTGAGAATTAACATATTGATAAATGATTTTATCTCTTTAAGACATACAGTAGTGCTCAACATGAATCATACAACAAAATGATAACTTTGCTTTCCCAATATCTCAACAGAGATTTAATGTATTGAGATACGATTCAGATACAAAAAAATAATTAATATAATGTCCTTTGGCATGGCTCAAAATCGATTGGACACTTCATAAAAAAATTCATGTACATTTCAGAACAAAAAATGGTTCATTTTATGATTTCAGAAAGAAACAGGCATTGTGTATAGTAATTCGATTAGAGATTTGCGTGACTAAGTTCTTTTTTTTAGAGGCGGTCTCGACTCTAACTGAGAGAGAACAATTTCACAATTTAGTCGAATTAAATCTTTTATAACATAATTCGTTAAAAATTATAGAAAATTTAACTATAATTCTTAGTTTCAATTCCAGTGACCAGAGCCGAAGTTAAAGCTGGTTCTTCACACCTTTAGTTGAAACACGATACAAGATACTTTTTCTTTTCGAAATCGGAAAATAAATCGGTTTTTGTTTTGAAGTTTACATGAATTTTTTATGAAGTGTACAATCAATCTTGAACATCACATTGTACGTTGGAGCTAAAGCATATCTACAGAAAATGTATACTTCTGAACTATCTTCAGCTAAAAATTAAAAAAAATATATATATCAATTGATTTATGATGATATAAATGGTATATCTTTTTTTTATTTTAGTAATACTGTAAAATACAATAAGAAGATTCCTTCTTCATCATCTCAAAGTACACCATTCTCAGCTGGTACAATTATCACACCAGTGCCTCGACTTTCATTCACTCAACAGTGAGCAAAAAATTCAATTGTTGATAAAGACCAAATAATCCCGTTTTTTTTTTTTATATAAAGATCGTTTATTTTATTTTCTTTATGTTTTATATTTTACTCACGAAATAGAACAGAGCAACAAAAAAGAATAATAAATATACATATATATATATATAGATATATAGTTATCTTTCTCTCATTTATATTTTTTGTTTCACAACATGTATCAACAACAACAACAATAAAATAGAAAAGAAACATTAAGTATCATGGGATGTAAAATTTATTCGTGTTGTATTTTTTGATTTTTGATTTATTGGTTTTAATTGAAAATTTTCTTGTCGTAATTGATTTACAACAAGTAATTCATCTTCACCATCTTCATCATCATCATCATCTTCAAGATCATCAATAAATGACGATTTCTTTCCATTCGATGATGATAATAATGGTTTACGATCATGTTGTTTTATATCTTGTTCATCATTTTGTTTTAATGATGATTTTCGTATAAGTAATGGTTTTATATAAAATTCATTTAATTTTTCTAAACCTTTCATAGTATTTGGTTTAGCAAAATGAATTTCATAATTATCATTATCATCATCATTTATATTATGTTTTCTTTGATGCATATAATTTTCATCATCATTAAGTAAGTCATCAAATTGAATTGTTTTACTCATCATTGCATGTAAATTCATATCATCTAATGATTCTAATGAACGTTGATGAGATGATGATGATGTATGTCGTCGAATAAATTTTACTACAGGCATGGTTAGACCACCTAGAACAAGTATTGTGAATAGAACAGTTACTAGTGTAGTTGTAACAAGAGTTCGTTTAAGTTCTTCTTCGCCTTCACCATAATATTGACCGACGTGAACGGAAAGTGCATAGGAAATGGCACCTAAACAGAACAAAAAACAAATATTGAATAAAACACTTTGTATGTCCTTTGTTTCCAACTATGAAATGAAAGAAAGAAAAAAGGATTGAGAAATTGATTTTTCTTAAGAGAAAGAGAAAGGTCGTCGATACTAGAATCCGACTCAGGTTGGACCAAAAAAAACTGATGAGTCGCATTGAGTCACAAAAATCTGATCCATATTAAATACTGATATTCATTCACTTATGATACGATGTATGAAAATGGAAGTGAAACTTAAAATCATAAAGTAATACTTTCTTTTTTTTGTTTAACACGATCAAAAACGAGTGTTGAAGTCAGAGACGTCCATCGCGGCGCTGCAATCAATGTAATTGAACCGCGGCCGCGGTTCGATTGCGTTGATTGTAGCGCTGCGATGGACATCTCTGGTTGAAGTATAACAGTGAAAATATGAGTTTCCTCTCTCCACAGACCATGACAGACATTGTTTATATACACATTCACAGATTGTATATGAATAACGTCTTGTTATAATGGATGAACTACTTCCTTATTGCATTTCTGTAGGATAAAGTAAAAAGAAGAACAATCTTCTTGAGATTAGCAACAGCAGTAGCATCGTGTTTCATATCTTAATCCCATAAGAATTACGCTAACAGCTTCCTTGTCTTAAATTTAGTCTATTTTTTTTCACGTCCTTTTTTCCATTGTATTAATGATCTTATACAATTGTATATATTATTCTTCTCCTCTCAAGAGCTTACATTCTTCTATTTTCGTTATTCTATATAAATTCATGCAGAAGTAATATCTATTTTTGTTTCTGTCAAAGATGGAACTAATCATAGTTGCTAATAACAAAGTCCTATTCATTTTATCTGCAAAAAAAAAACATTTTGCAGACAGTACGGATAATAAGATGTGCCAACAAAGAATAATAAGATTGTCTCTCTTTTCTTTCCGTAATGAATATTTTTTTAACTAAATAGTTTTCAAATATCCATGCCTAATGAAATCTTTCTTTATCTCAAATATATCATATCCTCTTACATATATATGTTTTTTTCTAATTCTACTCGGCATTGAAGAATAGTATCTACTAAGATTATTCAGTACATTAATCTTATAAAAAATATTTTCCGATTTATCTAATAATTCTATTGATTAGGTCAAGTGGTATTTTCATGTCATATACAAATATAAATTATTCGAAAGCAAAGAAGAAAAAAAAAAGAACAAATCATTAACCTCTTAATCCAGCAAACCACATAATAAGTTGCATTGAAAATGTAATTCGATGATTTTTAGATCGAAAACAATTCATTACAAATGATAAAGGAAAAACATGTGCTGCACGTCCAATTAATGTTAATAAAATAGTCCAAAAAATAAGTTTTGGATGAAATGCATGTTGATATTCAAATATTCCCAAACCCAAATAAACAAAAACACAAGTTTCAGCTAAAAATGATATTGTACGAAAAAGAACAGTTATTGATTGACGGCCAACAGTTGAAAGATTTTCATGTGTATAATGTGACATTGTTAAACCACATACAAGTATTGACATAATACCAGATAAATGAAATAATTCAGCAAACATATATGATGCATATGCAGTTAGAAGAAGAAGTGATATTTCTAATGATAATGAACTTTTATCAAATGCCATATATTTTGTTAATAAGGCACTTGTTAAACCAAATATAAGACCAAGAAAACCAGATGAATAAAACATTAAAGAAAATCGAGTAGAAATTTGCATTAAAGTTTTAATTGATGTAACAACTTGTGTTGTCCATGGTGTTGTTGTACTATTGATTTGTATAGCTCGTTTAAATTTTGATGATACTATAATGAAAAATTATTTTATAAATAAATATAAAAGCAAATTTAATATAGAAAATTTTATTTTTATTTTTTAGTTTTGAGAACTTACTTTTTCTTTTTTTCTTTAATGGAATATTATCCTTATCTGGATAATCATTAAAAATATCTGGATTAATACGATCTTCAATGTCATTATTTGTTAAAGGATATTTATTATCATTTTCATTTTGAAATAAAGTTGATACATCTACTTTTGGTTCATATAAAGATTTTTCTTCACCACGATGAATTAAATTATTATAATTTCGTTGTCGAACAGATGTTGTTATTGATGGAATTGTTGTCAAATTTGAACTTGTTAATAAACCAATCATTGAATAAGCTGTTAATTTAGTTGTATTAATATTTTCAAATTGTCTTTTTGATTCTACAATAACATTTGTTAATACAATAGCTACAGCATCATTTAAGATTGATTCACCAAAAACAAGCATATATAATAATTGATCAACATTTAGTACTTGAAATATTGATAAAATAGCTACAGGATCAATAGCTAAACAAAAAACAAAAAAATAAAATTTTATTTATTAAATTTCATCATACCAGAATTAAGTGATCCAATAATAAAACATTCTCTCCATGGTAATTTATATGATAAATTAACTATTCCTAATAAATATAGACCAACACCAGTAACTAATGCATTTATTGTTGTACCAAATATAGCAAATGTTGATATAGTTCCAAGATTTCGAAAAAAATTTCCTTTATGTAAATGATAACCTTGTTCAAATATAATTGGTGGAAGAAAAAGCATAAAAAATAAATTTGAATTTAATAATGGTGATGATGTTTGAACAATTGTTGTTGATGATGTTTCATTAGTTTTTGATATCCATTGATTATATAATTTAATACCTAAACCAAATATTCCACCAATGTAAATAATTGCAACACTTTCTGGTAAATAATTAAAACGTTTACGAATAAGTAAATGTATAATCAAAACACATATTATCAATAATATAAGTAAAAGAAATATTTGTGTTGAAGATGATAATTCAGACATTATAACATATGCTGTTCAAAGTCCGTAACGACGTATATACAAACACAAAACAATTTGGAGCTACCTTTTTTTTTTTTTCTTTTTTTTTTCTTTCTTTCCTTTTGCTCTGTCACTATTCGTATTGACAGTACACCGAATAGAAGAAAAAAATAAAACTTTTTACCATCAGTATATTACAACTCTGACTATTCTTGCTTTCAGCGTTCAGTCGATCGCGCGCCTACTCCGCCTAGTTGTGCTTCTTTTTTTTCTCGTTTTTTTTTTTTTTTTCTATAGAAAAAAAAAAAACATTTCAGAATGCGAGTATTTTTCCGACTAGAACACAACAATGCAAAAAAAAAAAAAAGAGAAAAGAACTAGGAACGACAATTCATTGCCGATAATGTAGTAGTTGGATCTTCAATAGTAATGCTCGCTCTATAGTTTGTATGTCTTTGCATACATTCTTTTTTTCTTCGCTTTTTTTTTTCTTTCGCCCGTCTAGAACAATGAATAAACCACATTACTACGTAGTTCTCAATTAGAAGAGAGAATAAGATGAAAGAACTTATATGAGATCTATTGGAATAGTAGCTTGAAGGTATTACTTTTCTTTTCATAGAAAAAAAAAAAACCATTAAATCATAATGTCATACAGTTTAATCATTAACAAAATATGCTTCTGTTTAAATAATATTAACATTGAAATCAATAAGATCAAATTGATTATATTTGGTGTATAGATCGATGATTAAATACATTCTCTAAGGGACAGTTTTTAATGTCAATTTCGGTCAATTGATTCTTGTGATTATTGATGTTGGAATGTTAATAACAATGTTTACTGTAGTAACGAATAGACTGAAGCATTTTGGAATGAGTTTTGGTTTCTTTCAAATCTGGACAATGTATATTTCCAATGGTGACAGGAGAATCTTTTGAAGAGAATAGTGCATCGGAAAAAGGAACAATGTTAGTTAACGGTCCTCTACGTGGAGATATTTGTTTGACGAATTTTTGAGACATTTTATTCAGTGATCTTTTTGATTTAATAAAAGTATTGATTTTGCTATTGTTACTCATATTCGATGGTCTTCTTATTCGATTAGATGATAGACCTTCTTCGGAATGAATAGAATATGTTTGTGTATTGGATTTCGATTTGGATAGTTTCGTCTTCTGATTTTTATTATCACTTATTATTGGTAATAGATTTATTAACTTGTAAAATTAAAATGTTTATTTTATTTATAATATTATATGCCTACTGTTAATGAATCAATAATTTCTTGATTTTGATTCTTTACTTGCTCTTGTACTATACTTGTCATAATTGATTTTCTTTTATTCTGCTCTGGTTTTTTGATTAATCTTTGTGATTCAAGTATTGGGTTAAATTTTTGTTCAATTTCAGCTAGCGGACATATTTCTGTTGAATAAGTATCAAATGATACAAGACTCGATGATGAAACATTTGTTGACTTTGGTTTTTTCATTGATTTATTTTGTCGCACTGTTACAAATGGATTTTTCAGAAACATTTCAGCAAAATGGCTCTTGGATTTTTTGAATTTTAAAAGATGATTTTTAGTTGAGTCACTAGAAATTTTATAATTACTGTCGAGAATTTCGAATACGAATCATTTTGTATTAGTTTTATTAGAAAGTAAATCGAGAGAAAAAAAAAGGTAGAAAATTTTACATTTGATTACTGGACCAATTTTGTTGATTTTTATTGCTTTTTTTAGATGATTGGTAAGATGTCGATGAACTCTTTGAAGATTTACTTTTTTTCTTTGTTAATGATAAATTTCGATGCTCTGTTAATTTTGTTTTACTATGGGATTGATTTGAATTTTGTATTAATTTTGATGATTTCCATTCAGGCTTCATATGTTCTTTACTAAGAGATGATGACGCGCTTTTCGACTTCTCATATGCATGTTTAGGTGAGAGTGATATTGTCTTGTCTTTTATCGTATGATTCAATAGAACTGTATTGTCGACAACATTTATTTGCTCTGAAATATGAAATAAATTACAAGCAATTATAAGCATTGAAAAATCATACTTTGATTTTTCTTGATTTTATATTGATTACGTGAGATATCTTCCATAATTAATGTAGCTGCTTCATGAACATCAATCGTAGGCTATGTAAAAAATAAAATGATTTAAAAAAAAATATTTCTATGATCTACAAACCATTGCATGAAGTAACTGTTTAGTAGAACAAGTAGTAAATCGACAAATATTTTCAATCTAAAATACTAATTTAATATTCATTATTTCTATGAAACTAAATATAAATATTTACCATATCTAAAGTGATAATAGTTCCTAGACGATTAAATACTTCACGCATAACTTCATTGACAAAATCTTCAGTAGATATTGGCTATAATAATTTATTTTATTCATTAATAATAAATAGAATTTTAAAATGATCTACTTTTAATTTTTTTAAATATGGATATTTCATTGCACCAACTTGTTGTACATGAGCAATCGCTTCTTCTAATGTTATCATTTTCTACTCATTCGAATTTAATTGTAACAGATGATTCATAAAGAATGTACTTCTCAATATTTTGCATCTTTCAACTAGGAATGCACCAATTCCAATTCTTGGCTCGAATTTGGTGCATCCTTCATGTCTCTCAATATTATTACATAACTATAAAAGCTGGATTAGCAGAATATCGAACAATACTATCTACGAAAAGTGTAACGTAGACAACTATATTTTATCGGACATTGTCTTTGCAGAATTCCAAGCGAATTTACCCACTTGTATGCTCTTTATACATCAAAACCTAGTCACAACAAACGTAAGCGAGGTCTTCCATGCTCAAAGTATCCCGATTGCATCGCAAGACTGATTGACGAGATTGGAAAGACTGTCGCTTGGTACAAGATTGTTGTCGACTGCTAACCATGTCTGCTTGTAATTCAATGGCGATGATGGATACATGCCTACTTCCAAAACAATGGGACAATTTTCTTTTTGCTAGATTCTTCGTTCGATTCTCTACAAATTTGCATCTTTTACTTATATGGAATAGTATACCTTATTTGTGTAGACCTAATGAAACGAAAAAATTCAGAATACGTTACATTCAAAAATTCTTTTTCTATCCAGCTTTTTTCATTGGGATTTATAGATGATCTTGTCAGCTTTCACTCTTAGTCATGCAAGACTTCGCTCAATTATCATCCTTAAACTAGTTCTAATGAAGTCTTCAAAAGGATCGAAGATTTAACTATTACTGCTAATCCATAAGATAGAAATTGGCAGAACATCTTTGAAAACTTTGTGCATATGATCATCTTAGGCATTTTTCTGCTTTTGATCATTCATAAAGAATCTTCCGTATTTAAAAGCACTACCTCTATAGTTTGTTTTTTCAAAAAAGTAATATCTTCTTCTATGGAATAAAAAGCGTAAGAATGTCAAAGATGTTCATATGTACAAAGTTTCAACAGAATTGTGTCAATTTACATCTTATTGATTAAGAATAATCGTTATTTGCCCAAATAATTAAGTCTTCAATGCTTCTGAAAACTTTATCAGAATTAGTTTTTGAATGATAATTGATTGAAGTCTTATATCATTAAGAACGAAAGTTGATAAGATCATCCACAAAGCTCAATGAAAAAAGTTTGACAAAAGAAAAAAAAGTATTTTAAAAGTGACGTATTTTGAATCTATTCGTTTCGTCGAGCTTTAAAAAAACAAGGCATACTGTTTCGTTTAAGTAAAATATGCAAATTTCTAGAGAATCGAACGAAGAATGTATAGCAAAAAAATTGTCTTGGTATGTTAAAAAGCTGCTGAGAAATATGCAAAATCTTGAGACGTTTATTCTTGCTAGATCATCCGTTATAATAATATATGTAAAATTTTATCTTACATTTTTTTGAATAATATCCTTTACTTCATTGTGTAAGGTTCGAATAACATCAGGTAACTATAAAAAAAAAATCAAAATGATTTCTTATTCTAAAACTTGGATAAATTTCAATCAAACTTCCGATATAACAATATTATGTTTAGCTTGTTCAATAATATAATTAACAATATATCGAATAAATTCAATATCTCGAGTATTTTTCTTTGGAATTTCATCCTAGATAAATCAAACTAATATTTACTATAAAAGTTTTTCTTTTAACCAACATGAAATAATGCTTGTAAATTTTGTTGACAATTTCCATATCGTTGTTTCAATCGATCACATAACGATACTTAATATGTTTAAAATAAACTCTCAAAAATTCTTTTCTTTTTATAAATCTATCAATAAATACCCGACGATCGATTTAATTTATAAGTCGATGAAAATAATTCACACATGATTAAATTTGAAAATAGAAATTAACTAATAATAACAAAAAACTTTTCAAATCAAGTAATATATTATTATCTTGTTTTAGCGGCAAGTCAAGTTGCGAATATTATTTATATACAATGAAAGAAAAAAAAACAAACAAACAAATGACAGGAAAAAGAAAAAAAAAAAGTATATTTAAAATAGATATCTATTTTATATAATCAAGATAAGTTTGCTGTTTTTAAACCATCTTCTATAATTGCTACTAAACGTTGAGCTTCAGCTAATTCAGGTACTTCATTTTCATAAACATTACCAAATACGACAAGTCGAAGTAAACTTACAGCTTCTAAAAAAAAACATTTTATTTTTGTTTTTCACCAGGAAAAAAATATTCATATATATTTTTTTTCTTACCATAGTATTCTTCTGGTATGTCAACCATATAGACTTCAAATGTAACGAGAAAAAGAAGTAATGCTTGTTTTAACATTCCTTGACCTGTTGCTAATTCACAAAGTGGTTTTCGACCATAGAAAAGAAAATATGATGATGTTCCATTAACAAAATCCATTACAGTTAATCGTAGATGACTGCTATCATCTGATTCTTTATCATTTCCTTTCGCACTGTCAGTCTTGAAAAGAAAAAAAAAAGATATTCAAATGAAATTCAATTTAAAACATTCACATTTTTATGACTTCTCGAAATAATTATCATACTTAAAGGCTTTTTTTTTTCTATCAAAGATAAACGCATCGAAAACACTCAACTGATCAATAATATAAATTAACATACATTAAAGTGAATATTGAGTTTGTAATAAAAATTTTGCACTCGATTATCTTTAGTCAAAATATTACTGAGAACTATTGAAATTGATACCCGCCGTTTGAGCTCATATTGAGTCCACAGAGAAATCTCAGTAAGACTAGAAAAAGTCTAAAAAGATTCGTCATCATGGATCTGTAAAGCAAAGTTAGAATCGTTTTGTTGAATTTTGAACCCAGTTTTAGATACATACCGAAAAATCAAAAAGCAGAATTTCAATATGAAATGTCGTCTATCTATAGGCCGACTGATCTGTAAAATATCCGAAAACAATGTTTTATTGTCGAGATATTGAATTTTCAGATAAACTCAATATCTCAATAAACGAGCATTATTTTCTAGTTGAAAATTTTACGTCGAAATTTCGCTTTTTGATTTTTCCGTACATACTTACAACTGGGTCAAAAAGATCCAATGTTGAGTTCAGACAGTAGATATCAATTCTCTCATTAGCAAAACATATGTTATGACAAAGAATCATTGTTCTAAAAAAAAGAATCTAATATATTTTCATTTTTCTATTTTTGCTAACTATTCTAATGTATTATTTATATTTGTAAATATAACTATTTATTATTATATTATTTCTTACTTGTTTATTTTGTATAATAAAATTACAATTTAATGTTCTACATAATTGCATTAAACATAAACGATATGTTAAATCCATATTTTCTCGTTTTCGTATCGCAAAATGTTTTGTTAATATATCAAGTACAAGACCAATTGTTTTACTAAATGATGATATATGTCTACCACGTAAAAGACCATATTCACCAGTTAACTAAAAAAAACAAAAACTTTCTAATATTTAATTATTATTTCAAAGAAAAAAAATGTTTACAAATTCTTTTCCAGCCATGAATGGTAATTCTTGTAAAATTCCATATAGATTAAGATCAGCATTATTACTCAACCATTCACGTCGTCTAGTATGTGTTTTTGATAAATATTGTTTATATAATGTTGAATATTGAACTTGACCTTGAATCTGACGAAGTTTAGCAGTTATTGCATCATAATAAGCATCATCTTAAATAAAACAATAGATGTTTTTTGGGTTTTTAATTTAATAATAAATTTACTATTTTGATGTATACGATTATCATTTTTTTCAATTCGACCTGATTTAGCACGAATTTTTTGACGCATATTACGCATTTTGATTGATAATTTACGACAGAGTAAAGCCTAAAAGGATCAATCATAAAAATAATCGATACAAAAAATTAATTTCTTACTTCAGGTTTAAGATGATTGCCTTTTTCAGCCAAACAAGGATATTTTTTAATTAATGCTAAACCAATTTTACGATATTCTCGACCAGTTTTTAATTGTGGATAAGTTTTCATAAAAAATTCAGCTGTTTCATTTATAAATTCTTGCAATACTTGTGCTGCTTGTCCTATTTATAAAATCAAAAAAATAAATAATTTATTTCGTTATTTAACAAAACAAACAAATATTTACCATTTTCTAAACATGTTTGAACACGTTCTGAAAGTTCAGGTAATTGAGGTGGATGTGGAATGGGTGCATAACAACGAACACGTCCACCACTTCGAGAAACAGGTGTCATTGCACTTCCACTTTCTTCATCTTCACCCATTAAACTCATATTTGGTGTATATAATGTACCACGCTAATTAATATAGAAAATTTTATTTTAAAAAAAAAAAAAAAAAGAAAACTTTTAAATGAAAATTATACTCGTTCAGAGACTGGCATCCATTCTGGATCTTCAAATTGAATCTATAGAAAATTATATAGATTACAAAAAACAAAATAAATTCATTTTTATATAATTTAAGAAAAATTTTACATCAGCAAATTCATCTTCACTTTTTAATCCATATTCCATTGAATCATTTGGTTCAATTTTTGTCATTCGACTCACTGTTCCGAAACGTTTTTTTCCTTCTAATTTTGGTCGTTTAAGATAACTATTTCGACGATGTGTATTATCATCATCATCATCTGATGATGCTTCATCAATATCATTATTTGTTCTTATTGTTGTTGCATTTGTTGATGAAAGAAGTCCACTTGTTGATGTTGAACTTTTAGTATTTGTTGGTGTTGAATGAATTTTTCGTATATGAATTTTAAAACGAGCCACAGATGGAAATGTTTCTTCACATCCATCAACTGGACATGCAACTTCAACTTCTTCATCACGATGTCGAATATCCAAATGTTCAACATAAGCTTGAAGACTTCGAGGATATATATTACATATTGTACAATGAAGTACACGTTGTGTTGATGATGATGATGATGGACTATTATAATCAACAAGATTAACACGATTTAATGACATCTTAAACAAGAAAAAATAATAATTCGCGCATTTGAACAAACTTTTCTTTTTGACCACATTAATGGTTTCAATATTAGATAGTTTTATATAGTAAAGCAAAAAAAACCAAGCATCTATGCTTCAGAATAGAGGATGCATAAGTGCGCACACAATGGATGCACTATTATGACCGATAGAAGAATAAACCAATAGAAAACAAGAAATTTAAAATTAGTGACATCTTACGAATATTTTCATCATTGGAATGTAAGACTTAATTTGACGACATAGAGAAAAGATGAATCACGAAGGATAAAAATTGATAAGAATTATAATTGTAGACGTGTTTATAAACCTATTCATTTTGTTCAATAGAAATAAGAATCAGTAAGATTACTATGTAAAAGAGAAAAAAGTATTGTAAACAAATTTTTCTATATGTGTAACATTGGTAAATATTACATCATTAGTTTCAACCAAATAAATCATGAATAGAAAAAATATAATAAAAATTCAGCATAGATATTATGAGCAACTTTCATCAATAGTTAATTGAAAGAATATCATTAGACAAATTTCCCTATTTGATAAGACTACTTTCTTTTCCTATATAATTCTTTACTTAATCAAATTTAAGTAGATTTTCAAGATATGAAATTGATTTTATATTTATTCTTAAAAGTTAATTGAAGATTCTTTTTTTTTTTTGGATAAATTTAGATGTCTACTACAGAAGAACAAGCATCGAGTTCAACAAGTGATGTTGATAAACCACCAAAAATATCTAAAAATCAACAACGAAAACAAAAACGTTATGCATTATTACTTGAACGACGTAAATTAAAACGAAAAGAAGAAAAAGTTAAACAAAAACAACGTCGTCTTGAGAAATTAAAACAATCTGAAGATCAATCTCTTCTTACTCGTCATGGTCTTAAATCTAATCGTATGGAAAATTCTTCATGTCATATTCGAATTTGTATTGATTGTCGATATGATTCAATGATGAATGATAAAGATATAAGTAGTTTACAAAAACAAATTGCTTTTTGTTATTCAGCAAATCGTCGTTCATCAACACCATGTCAATTCTATATAACAAATATTAATGGTCAATTAGAAAAACGTCTTGAAACAAATTGTGCAAAAAATTGGGATATTTATTTACGAAATGAACCATTAGAAAACGTATTTCCTCATGATGATATACTTTATTTAACAAGTGAATCAGAAAATGTTTTAAGTAGTACAGAACCACTTGATGAACGAACTGTTTATGTTATTGGTGGAATTGTTGATCATAATGCTCGAAAAGGTTTATGTTATCAATTAGCTTTGGCAAATAAATGGCGACATGCACGTTTACCAATTGATGAATTTATTAAATTAAATACACGTCGTGTACTTGCTTGTAATCATGTTATGGAAATACTTTTAAATTATATTCAATTAGGAGATTGGAAAAAAGCTTTTGAACAGAATATACCAAAAAGAAAACAAAAAGTAATAATAGATAGTGACGATGATATACCAAAAACTGTTTCACCTAATCATCCAGAAGACCCAAAACCATGTGCTGAAGTTCATGAACGACGAGGAGAAGTTATTGAAGCAGAAACTCCTCCACCTATTGATTTATAATTCTGTTTGATGATAACTTTTTTTTTGTTATGTTATTCTAGATTTAAATGGCGTCATCATCGTCTGCTAGACATCATCCACCTCTTCGACCATCGTCAACGACAAATCAAACGAGTCGAAGAGTTGAAAAACGAGTTAATACTCCTGCACTTTCCAATGATATAAATGATGATGAATATGGAACAGCTAGTGGTAAACAAATACCACATAGTTATTTGCTCAAACTTATTAAAAGATCTCGTATGAATGGCATACTTAATTTAGCATCACGTGGTTTAACTGAAGGTAAACTATTTATAAAAAAAAATACATGTGTGTACTATTTTCAATTATTTTTAATTTAGTACCAATGGAAATATTTGCTGATGAAATTGTTGAAGAAGAAAATCAACAACAACAAAAATCAAAAACACCAGATTTTAATCAAAATGATACAGAAGGTTGGTGGAATCATGAACCTCTTAAAACACTTGATCTATCATCGAATTCATTAACTACTCTTCCAAATCAAATTGAAACATTGGATTATTTAATTGTTCTTAATGTATATATATATATTTTTTAGTCAATTCATACGATGTTTTGTTTTTCTTTATTTAGATTCAAAACAATCAATTAACATCTTTACCTGATACAATACGAGGTTTAAGAACATTAGAAAAACTTGTTCTTACTCAAAATCAATTAACAACATTACCGGATGGTCTTTTCTATTGTTCATCACTTCTTTCATTAAATCTTTCACGCAATCATTTCAAAAAATTATCCAATAAAATTGGTCAACTATCGTATTTACAAGACCTAGTTAGTTATAAATTTTATTCTATTCTTTTATTAATTTGTATATTTAGGATTTATCCGAGAATGAATTTGAATTATTTCCAAAAGAAATCGGTTTTTTAACAAAATTAACTAAATTAACAGTTGCAAAAAATCGTCTTCAAGCACTTCCACATGAATTTGGTGCTCTCTATAGTATGTTGTTAATGTTCAACAAAACATTCACGAGAAATTAAATTTATCGCGTTTTATTTTACAACTTTTCAAGTTATTAGAATTTGCATAAATTTTACTTCCTTTCGTTGTTTCAGGATTAAGTGTGCGTACAATAGAGACTTCACCCTTGGTCACACTCTCTTGAGCTTATACTTTCTATAGTTAAAGTTATAGAAAAGTAAAACGGGATAAATTTAATGTGTCGTGGATCTATGTGTGTTCACTTGTAATATTGTATTATGTATGAATGATTAATTGTATAGATCTTCGATCACTTGATCTTAGTTATAATCAATTAACACAATTACCTGAAAGTGTTGGAGATTTAATTAATCTTGAAGAAATTTATGCAAATTCAAATCGATTGACAATTTTTCCATGTTTTAAACAATGTGGTCGATTAAAAGTAAATCAAAATTTTGATTGAGAAGAAATAAAAAACAAACTTATTATTATTGTTTTTTTTTTTTTTGATTTTTAAAGGAAATACATATGGCAGATAATCAACTTACTGAAATTACCGATAATCAATTAGAACCACTTTTATCATTAATATCTCTTAATGTTCGTGGCAATAAAATACGAATTTTACCAGATCATATTGCTCTATTACCTAATTTAGAAAGACTTGATGTAACAAATAATGATCTTGCTGAGTATAGAATTTATTAAAATAAAATTTTGTAATTATTTTTTCTTCATTTCTTTTTTTTTATTTTTGAAGTTTACCATCGAAAATGGCATTGAATAAGAAAATAAAAAATATTAGCATGACGGGTAATCCATTAGGAAAAATTCGAAAAGATGTTGTTCGTGTAAGAAAAACAAATCTATGTAAAAAAAAGAATCGTTCATCATTAAATTTTAGCTTGGAACTGAATCTATACTGAAATTTCTTCGAAATCGATTAACAATGGATGATGGAAGTGCTAGTGGTAATGATCAAAAAACTTTTGATGTTCCAAAAACAGTTGAAACTGATGATGAAAGAAAACGTCGTTTATATACCGAACATCATGTTGTTCGAAGTACTGGTACATTTGATTTCAGGTAAATAAAATCAATGAAATGAATGTAAGAATTAAATTTTTTTGGTTATTTTAGTCATAAAAATGTTTCAACTTTATCAGATGAATCAATTGAACTTATTTCAAAAGAAAAACCATCACATGTTAATTTAGCAAAAAATAAATTTACAGAAATGCCTATTGCGTGAGTAATTTTTAAGAATTTAATTGATAAAAAATTAATATATTTCGTAAGATAGTTTATGAATTTATATAAAGGTGAGATTTTGTAAAGTATATGCATGTAGTTAAACCTATGAGAACCTAGAGGTGATGGCTTTCCTTTTTTTTATAAAACCCAATGGGTGTTGGAATAAAATTTAACTTAATGAATAATTTTATAACTATGAATAAATATAGATTGGTACAATTGGCTGATTGTTTACTTCATTTGGATATATCTTCAAATGGCTTATTGCAACTTAATTCACAAGTTGGACAACTTAAAGAATTACGTTTTCTTGATTTGAGGTATAACCATTCGATTTTATAGTTTCAATATGTTCTTTGTTGGTTTTTGTAGTACAAATCGTCTAACGGATCTTCCATCGGAATTGAGTTCTCTTGAACATTTACAAATCATTAATTTATCAATGAATAAGTATGTTCATTATATTAACTAAGCTCCTCCTCCATCTAAAATCGATCTTGGTCCAGATATAATCAAATCGCATGAAATTTTCAGAACATATTGAGCTGTGATGGAGAGGCTATGATAAAATTTTCAGCTCTGTATCATGATGTTTTCGGAAGATATTCATCCAGCAAGAGTAAAAAATAGCTCATTTGGCAACTCAAAATTCTCTTTGAGCCTTCTAATTTTTCGTTTGTTTGAAAGAACATATCAGGATGGAGGGCATTATAGAGCCATTTTTTTAAATTCTCACTTATTAGAGAGAGAGAAAAAGAATGAAACGTTCAATATCTCGAAAAAACTCTCAAAAATGGCGCTCTAACTATTAAAGTAATAGAACTTAAATCAAAAAAAGGACTGCCATACTCTCCTTCTTGACATGCTTTTTCAAGCAAAAAAAACACCATTCGTTACCATGAAACTTCTTTGAGAATTTTGGGATGCACGATCAAAAAAAACATAAACAGAGGAAAAGCGAAAAGGGTTTTTCATTTTATCTGAAAAAAAAAACATATTTGTCGCGCAGAAAATGGCGGAAAGTTCTGGGAAAAAACGGGCTGCCAAGCAAAAAAATTATACCATTCATCAAAAATCAGTCATCGAGTTTTCTTCCGATGTATTTATCTCAATTTTCATATTTTTGACGAAAATTGACTTTCTTTAAGTGAGGAACATCACCAACTAATTACGAAATATCTATATTAGATTTGTTCGATTACCATCTGTTCTTTATGAATTAAAACAAATTCAAGAAATTCTTGCTAATGATAATCAATTAGTTGAATTGGATGCAAATGGTATAATGAAAATATCTTCAACGTTATGTACATTTAATGTACGAAATAATAATATACAACGATTACCTCCTGAATTAAGCAAATGTACATTACTTAAATCACTTGATGTTGCAGGTCAATATTTTTTGTTTTATTCAAAACCGAAAATTTTTGACTTTTTCTTATTTTATTAGGTAATCCATTTAAATTACCACGACCAGCTACAGTGGCCAAAGGCACACAAGCGGTGCTAGAACATTTACGAAATCAATTAATTGAATAATAAACAAAATCTTTATTTGTTTTACCAGTGTGTAGTAGTTTGTTCACTTATCTTTTGTGTTTAAAAATAAATGACACGTCTCTAACGGTTTCTATTGTATTTGAATGCGTAACGGTTGCTTTGTTTTATCGTTAGTTCTTAATTAAAGTGTAACGGTCAATGATATATATAGATATATATATATACATATATATAAGCGATGTGTTCTGTTCAGTATGTTCTCATCATTTCTATTCTAAACAGCAATGTTTCGACTTCAACAATCAACAAAAACTTCTCCAAATATTTGTTCATCTCTACAAGTAAGTTATTTATCATAGTATGAAATGTTATATGAAGAAATACTCTAGAAAATACATTCAACACCAATGCGTCTTTGGATTTCAAATATTCCATATTATTGGTCAACAATTGAACTTGAAAAAATATTTTCAGTATGTTTTTTTATTTATGATCTATTTCTATTTTTTTATTTTTAATAATGAATAGACATTTGGTCGAGTCTATGATATTGAAATACCATTAAAAAATGGTCAATCAAGAGGTTATGGATTTGTAACATTTGAAAAGTATGGATTTTTTGTTTTTATTGATATAATATTAATTAATTAATCGATTTATTATAGACAAAGTGATGCTATACAAGCAATTCAATCAATGGATGGACAAATCATCAATGGTCGTAGTATGCAAGTATGTGTGAATGAATGAATGAATGAATGAATTAATGTTCATTTTTTTATTTTGTTCTTTGAAGGTATATCAAGCACATGTAAAACAAAAATCTTTATTGAAATCTTATTTTCTTATTCAATCATTTGATCGTTCATTATTTGGTAGATGTTATTGTTGTAAATCAAATTCAATAAATCGAATTAACTATGCAGAAGGACATCAATATCAATGATGAGATATATAATATTATATTTATTATTCGTTATATTATTTGTTTTTGTGTTTTTGTTTGTTTGTTATTGTTTTTGTTGTACAGTAAAGATATTCTCTGTAGTTGAAAAGTGAAAATATTTTGTTTTATGGTTGTTATTGCATGTGAACTTAGAGGAAAACTTGTTTTTGCTTATTATGTTATTATTGTTATATGAAGAAAACTATTGTTTGAAATAAATAAACAAGATGATGAAGAAGAAGATGTTTAAAATAAACTGGGCACATCAATTTATACTTATAAATATTGCTCATTATAACGGTTTCACTACATTCTGTACAAAATATCTATATTATTAAATAGTATAACGAATGAGAGGAGAAGAAAAATGACTTTTATGGAAAATGACGTCTCATTCAAGTTATTATTTGGAAAATGCAGAGCGAATAAATTCATCAGTAAACATTATTATACTTCACAAGACAAAATTACTAAACAATGGTATTGTATCTTATGCCAATCTTTTTAAAAAGTTCAATTCGAAGTTTACTCAAAATATCTTTATTACATATATTGTTACTAATCTCTGTAGAGATCATACAGATTTTAGCTTTACTATTGGATTCGCTTGAACAACTTTGGAAAGAGAAAATGCATATTGAAACTATGTCTCTCGTATATCCGGCGATACTAAAACTATCACAAGATCTAATGAAAATATGCATGGTCATCGAAAATGACACAATGTATTCGCTCAGCTTATATTCAGTCATCGCTGATAATTTACTTTCCAATGATTCATTACGTACGGTTAAATCTAGCGATTTCTATGATCAAAATCAAGCTATCTCAAAGCAAGTCTATCGAAATTTCATAGATTCGAAACATTGAAGTTTATTAATATCTTCCTTTATAGTTAGAAAGAGATCGAGAGTAATCCTGAATGCACCTTAAAAAGAAAGAGTTACAGTAACGAAGACTATGTTTATTGTATTTGAAAAATGTGTCCCAAAGTATGAAATATCCAATAGAATTGTAGCAAGTATTCGCAGGATATATCATTCGAAATTTTGGTTCTCTGTTTATCACAAGATCAAAAATGTTTTCTTTGAAAAAATAATTCTATTTTTAAGTTTTAGTCAAAAATGGGTGCAGAATCTGTCGATGAATTCAGGTATATTCTTTGATTATTGTATATGGCTCATGAATCACCACAAATGCTTTCTCCTATTCGCGAATATGAAAATATGCTCCTTTTTTTTTTAATCCCTTGAAGAAGTCATTGATCCTCTTGTTTCAATCATGTCAGAAATTGTACATATTACTTGGACAATCAAATAAAGTTATAGTGTACCAGAAAATGATGTAACTTATTATGGTCTATTCCAGGAAATGGGAACTAAAAAAACAAATCATACCATGTTATTCTTATAATATCACTTTACAAATACCGAGTCAATTTAATCGTCCAATAGTCCATGGTAGTATGAAATAAGATTTCGGAGTTTTTTATGCCATGGAAAGTACAATAGTAAGGTGGAATCTTTTTGTCACAAATAATATTTCTTAACATTCTCAACAATGAACGATTTTTCAGATTACATAGAACAAGAATACTATTCACGATCGATTATCATTCTGACAAAAGTATTCAACAATATTCATTTGATTTTGAAGAACAAGAAGTGTTGCTTTTCTTCTGTTTGCCCATATGAACTAATGGATTATTTCCATCAAAGAAATTCTACTAAAGTATCCATTGCTAAATTGTGGTCAACGATCTTCTATTACTTGATTGAACAAAATAGCAAATACATCCTCATCAGCGAAACAAAACCTCATCACACCAGTCACTCTACAAGAGGTGTCAACACAACCAAACAACGATCACATGTATCGTTACTAAAAGATCAATGCTTCACATTAAGCTATCATCAAGTCTTATTTGCGTCTACGTTACTAAAAGTTGAACGAAGTATATTGAAACCAACGAAACAGTCGATTATACGGTTAATTTAACAAGCATTCAGTGTAGTTATTACAATAAAATCGATTTTTATAGTACTGACATCAATGATTTGACCTTGCCAAAAATTATTGATGCATTGCACTTAGCTTTAGTAATTATTTTCATTTATCTGAGATATTCATAATAATCAACAGTAAAGCATATGTATGATCCATGCATCCCTTCGATGCATAATATGCATGTCTTTTTTTCTTTCCTAATGTTATTCTACATATGTCACTTGATGTTGTGATCTTCATGTCTTCTGTCAATTAAACATTAATTTAAGAATACAGTAGGATCACTTTTTATGTATTATACTTGTAATTTCATATAGATGCTCACCACATTAAACCTCTCTTGGGAAAAAATCAATGATTAACGAGCAGAACATCTTACCAAAACTCTACAATTAGAACCAAGCATTTGTTTATGTCACCCTTTCGCTCACTTACTTACTCACTATTTCAGATTAAATACCATGCTAGAACTCAGAAGCAATCGAATCTATGATAGAAAAAAGCTCATTAATGAAATATCAAAAAAACCATTCGGAGTTAAATGTTTTGGTTCAAGTAGTAATTTTACGAACATTCGTATAAAATAATTCAACAAATATTGATAATAGTGTCATTATTGCTCCGATTGCTGTTTTTAAAATATACGGATTTAATGAAATGTCTTCCGATAGTTTTTACAGAATAACAGCAATGTTCTCTAATTGATTGTATCGTTCGCCTGACAAACTTGATTATGTTACAAAGTATTGATGATCATTTTCAGCCTTTTATAGCTTTGGAATTGGTGTATTGAAGGAAATATATTTCAGAGCAAGTTATCATACTTATCATAGAAGAAATCTTCATCGGTAATAATTATATTTATTTCGATTATTGATGAATTTTGCATTTTGTATATCGATCAGACATCTTAGTCGAGATTCATGTTTCTGTAATTTTTATCAATCTTATTATTGCCAAGCGTAAAATTTAACAAAGATAGTAAGCGATCTTAAATAATTGGTTGAACGTTGTAATACCGACATGGCACTATACAGAGTTATTATGGTAGACCATCGTTTCCCAGACTTGATGTACTATATGACTCGACGTACTGCAAACTTTTCATCATTAATTTATTTCTCAACTGCAGTACATCCCTCAACACTTTCTATGAACTAATTGAACCATCGAACAAACAAAAAGACCTATCTTCAATTTTCATTTTCTCCGATCATGCTTGATAATTAAGTAAAAATAACTTTTGTTTTTGAATCTTTAAAGTCGAATAGTATATCTATTTGTTCATAAATTAAGACAAATCTAAATAAATCAATTTTATCTCCTAATGTATATCTTATCACCCTAATTGTAAACATCAATAAAAGGTGAATGTTATTACCTTGTTTTGATAGACATCCATCTTTCACTTTTTCACTCTACACTTGCTATCCATAAAAAAAATCAATCTCATCATATTTATAATGTGACACAATAACGAGAAGACACTATTTTAGATATTGTTATTAAATTATGCATAGATGATAAAACTACGTCCAATTGTGTGACATATATTTTTTTGAAAATGTGCTATGCGAATAGCAGTACTATATTTTCTTGATCAAAAATCATTGTACGATCAATTATAGATGGAATAATTCTTGTTTAAAGCAATGATTAAGATTCGAGTCGTACTTTTTGTGTTTCACAAATAGATCTGTTAGCAGTGATATTATGTATTGACACGAAATTTTGACATTACACTTCGATGAAGACTGTTATAGTCCACAACAGCTAATCATTCTGTTAAGATTTACTTGAGGAAAAAATGCTATAAATAGAAACTGTCTTCGGAAAATGTTGATGACGACGGTAACGTGTATAACCTACGTTTAAAACGTCATTATAAGACATATCTGTTCAATTTTTGTTCACGTATAATTCACGTGAGAGAATTAGATTTTCATACTTTTTTCTAATTATATATTCAAATTTCTTTTTCTGAATTAAACTTCATTAAGAACAAATCTTTGATAGAGATCGAAAGCAGTCAGTTAGAAGCAACACTTGATGCTCTTTCTCAATGTCTTTTGAAAAATTTTTCTTA